GTGTGTCTGTGTGTGTGTGTGTGTGCGTGAAAAAGGGTGTGTAAGTGTGTCTGTGTGTCTGTGGTGAGTGCGTGAAAAAGGGTGTGTAAGTGTGTCTGTGTGTGTATATGTGTGTGATTTCTTTGTTCATATGAGCAAATGTTACTTTTTCACAGCTATTGTTTAATACTTGTGGATTTAGTTTTATGTAAAACCCCAAGAGCTGTGTGTAGGCCTACATAGAAAGAGAAGAGGTGCTATATAAATTATCTCCACTATCACATTATCATTATATTTATTATTACTTATAAAAAGTAAGTAATATATAATTGAAAAATACCACTCTCGCTGATCCATTTGGGGGAATTTGATTTGAATTGTTACAGGGTTTGGCCATTGCATACCTGCCAACATTGCCTGGGCAAAAATCTGTAGTTGACACAAATATTTGTCCAAAAATCTGTTGTTGACCTAAAAAATTGGTGTTAGACTACATTACCACTTGCCGCACACCTAATTGGGGACCCTTATTTTAATATTTTGACCCACACATACATGAGTGTGTTTGCCACTTCAAACAAATGTAGAAAATGACAAACCTGCACTTATCACTACATGGCATTGGACAGAAGGGCGAGAGCCCAGATGTTGTTGGATCGATAACAAAAACTTGTGCAGTTGGGCACCAGTGATTACAACCAACTCACCCTGCGACTGGGTGGCCCCGTTCCCAAAAGTCTGCGGCGTGCCAAAGACGTTCTGTTTGGCCTTTTCCTCCGAGGGTTTCCCGCCGAGACCGCCAAAACCGCTGCCGCTCCCGAAGAGAGAACCGGCCGAGCTGCTGGACGAGCTGGGGAAAACCACAGACAAAACACTCAAGTTTATTGCCATGACCGGATAACCTCACCATAAACCACAGACAAAACACTTAAGTTTATCGCCATGACCGGATAATCTCATTACAAACCACAGACAAAACACTCAAGTTTATCGCCATGACCGGATAACCTCATCGTAAACCACAGACCCCAAGAGATGTTTTTAAAAAAAAAAGGTTTTAGTAAAACTTCTTATGACACTTGCAACACAATAAGGTCATATAAGTGCCGAAGATTAGAGGTGTTACAAGAGAGTAACAAACACAAGAAAAGAGGAGAGAGAAGGAAGATAGTTTTCGATAGGAAAGAAGAAGCAAACCACACCAGAGCACCCGCCGACCACCCACACATGGATGTGTGACGAGGCCTTGAGGTACGTGATCATCACCCATATAACATGACTATTTTGAGACACATGGGAGGAGCTAACTGGCAATGAAAAACAATTGCCGCATTTTTTGGACCACATAGAAACGAGTGCACAGGGGCTCACATTTTACAGGTTATATAAGCTCATACGTCTTGAATCAAAGACTATTTCTATATAGTGCGATAAGCGGGTAAATCCAGAAATCGGATTTCTGGATTTATCTGGAAAATCACACGCCTCTGAAACTTACACGGTAGACTGTCCAAATCCAGAGGTTTGTCCAAAACCTGACGTCCCCGCACTGGACTGACCAAAACCGAACGCGGGCGAAGACTGCTGGCTGAAACCTGTTCCTGGCATGAGAAAGAAAGAAAGAAAGAAAGAAGGTGAGCTTCATAAGATTACAAGTGAACCTGCTCAAACCGCCACCTGTCTACAACAATCACCTGTACAGACCACCAGTCTACAACAATCACCTGTCTACAACAATCACCTGTACAGACCACCTATCTACAACAATTCCCTGTACAGACACAACAATCACCTGTACAGACCACCTGTCTACAACAATCACCTGTACAGAGCACCTGTCTACAACAATCACCTGTACAGAACACCTGTCTACAACAATCACCTGTACAGACCACCTGTCTACAACAATCACATGTACAGAGCACCAGTCTACAACAATCACCTGTACAGAGCACCAGTCTACAACAATCACCAGTCTACAACAATCATCTGTACAGACCACCTGTCTGCAACAATCACCCGTACAGACCACCTATCTACAACAAACACCTGTCTACAACTATCACCTGTCTACAACTATCACCTGTCTACAACAATCACCTGTCTACAACAAACACCTGTCTACAACAATCACCTGTACAGAGCACCAGTCTACAACAATCACCTGTCTACAACAACAATCACCTGTACAGACCACCAGTCTACAACAATCACCTGTCTACAACAATCACCTGTACAGACCACCTGTCTACAACAATCACCTATACAGACCACCAGTCTACCACAATCACCTGTACAGAGCACCAGTCTACAACAATCACCTGTACAGACCACAACAATCACCTGTCTACAACAATCACCTGTACAGACCACCTGTCTACAACAATCACCTATACAGACCACCAGTCTACCACAATCACCTGTACAGAGCACCAGTCTACAACAATCACCTGTACAGACCACAACAATCACCTGTCTACAACAATCACCTGTACAGACCACCTGTCTACAACAATCACCTGTCTACAACAATCACCTGTCTACAACAATCATCTGTCTACACCTGTCTACAACAATCATCTGTCTACACCTGTCTACAACAATCATCTGTCTACACCTGTCTACAACAATCTCTGAAGCCATGACGTAAAGGCCATGCTTTCAAATGGGTCTTTACATATGGTCGCTTTTAAGGAAAAGCAGGCCAACTCAGATTTCGGGCCAAAATCTTGACCTACACCAAAAGTGGGCATTGCCCTACCTATAGGAGAAGTTTGGTTTCATTGGTGTGTATATTTGTTTGGTCATAAAGAAAACTATCCTCGTCTTATAAAGAAACTGAACAAGGGTCCAAAAACTGTACCTTAGATTTTCTCAAAACAGCATTTTTGCGGGTTAGCATGCTTGTCCTTAAAAGCGACCATATAACTTACGATTCTTTACAACTTGAATTTTGAGGTATCGAAACTAAAATGAACAGCATGTCTCCTCATATAACACTTTTTTTCAAAGTCTTGTTCCGTCTAAACGGACTCCACTGTATTATTATTATTACTATTATTATCATCATTATTATTACTAATATCAATCACAGAACAGACCTTGCTGCGATGTGGCAGGGTTGGCTCCAAACACTGATGTGGAGGTGGCTGGGGTGCCGAAGAGACCACCGCTGGGTTTGGTGGTGTCTGTGGTGGCAGACGAAGCACTGTTCCCGAACAGAGAGCCCGAGCCAGCGGAGGATCCAAACAGGCCAGTACCTGCAGTGCGTGAAAAAGGGTGTGGCCCGAGCCAGCGGAGGATCCAAACAGGCCAGTACCTGC